ACTTCGTGTAATCGCGCAGTCGTCACGATGGAATTGTAATGAGAAATTCACTACTTTCACAGCCTCGTACTTCACTCACGTAAAGCAATCGAGTGATATATGACATGATGAACTGAATCACACAATTCCTGCTGTTGACCACTGTCCAGTTATGCAGATTCAATGCGGTTGATTGCAAGACTAAGTGCTGATACGAACCAGCGGTCTGCACCAAAACATTACAGACCGAAAAGCCATGGTTGCTAACAGGAACATTTTTGTATTGGCCAGGTGTTGGGGCAGGCTGCTCGGTGTGAGCGCCTCTTTGACTGCATTCTGCCATGATCTATTTTATAGCTGATTACCCAATGTGATAATCAGCATAAAGTATAATCCCGTAAATGCCCTGATTTTCTAATTATGCTTAATCAATGTAATTACCTTTTCACATATTCGAACCATCTTATGTGATGTGCAATTATGGCTTGGAAAGCCTACTGGTCATTAAACAGTGCGAGATTCATTGACTTACTGCGGGCAGAATCACTTGATCAGAAACAGAATCAGCTTTTATAAGCCTCCAAATTCTAGAATGTCATTATGATTTGTTTAGATGGTCCCTTAGTTTGTAAAAATATTGTGGAGGTAACGCCGTATGCATCAGCCTCGTAAATTGCGCCAACTGATATAACTTTATTGCTAACAGCTTTATGCGGTTGCGAGACCCGGACGTAAACAAATAGCTAACTGCTAAGAATGCAACTTTGGGCTGTGGGAACATTGATGCTAGGTGTTTCCACTATGGACAAGCTGCTGAACGATGAATTAAAATGACGCTGTATAAATGCCGAAAGAAAGTGAACGACAATCGCCAGGTCATATCGTACGAATGACTATGATCTTCGGCACTGACGGACAGATACCCAACGAGCTGCAAGCGTCTCACTAGAAAGTCTTGGCTCAGATGGGATGATGAGCTCAGATATGCAAGCTAGTAGTGATGGATCACCCAAGACGAGCGTCGGCACAGACAATGTGCAATGTGATCCCCACTAATTCTGAAGAATCAATAAATTTTATTTGAGCGCAGCTTTATTCTTAAACGACGGTTTGTAAACATTTTGACCATTAACTGATGTTGCAACTCTTATTGTGTGGAACGACATCCCGACTCATTTTCAAGCTTGTTCGAATGGTAAGCTTTGACTTCAACAAATCGGTAGGCAAAACGTTGCACTCTCCTTAGACTTGCAAAATGCCGGCTGATTTCGGTTGCTTTTATCAACGACTTTGTTAAATCAAAATTTCAGTTGATTAGTTGTATTATCCTGGGGTTTGTGGTCTCACTTTAAAAATACCTGCTGGGAGTGAGTGGCACTACAGGTTCGTTGAAGGCGGCAAAAGGAATAGCTTAGCAATTCTTCTATTGGAGGTAGGCTTATTCCTAGATATAATTTAAGCTTTTAGTCGAGTTAAATATGCTTTGCTAATCACGTTGACGACGCTTCTAAAACTTTACGTGGCGAATAAACTGCCACCAATGTTTCACGTGGAAAAACCGCAGTCTTCTTATTATCTAAGTTTCAAACCCATAGGGACAAACAACTAAAGTCAACAGTTTAAGTTAGCGAAACATGGTTTCCAGGTTCACCGGTGGCTACCATAATATGGAAATGTGATTCCATGTCAGCAACTAAATTAATTCTACGCAGCAAATTTGACTTTTATTATAAAGCAAACCATCGTGCGCATTTTAAAACAATGACTTTGTTTACTGCTTGCCCGTATGCTGTCATTGCTCGATCAGCCTACTGCTTAAATATGGCACTAGCTTTCTTAGATCATGGCACACCATTGTATGCCTATTTGTTCAATGATTGTAACTGATCTGAGAATCAGTAAACGTGAAATTCCATCTTCTCGCCCTCCAGTCACCGGAAAACAATACGACTGCATTTTATATGCAATGCAAATTATTCGATTAGATACCGACCTCTTCAGGATAAGGTAAAGGATACTGTTTGGCCATCAGCCACAGTTTATAATTCTGGACTGCTCAGAAATCTGAGGCTGAACTACCCGAATCTATAGCCTGATAATACAACTGTCGTTCGATTGGCCAACCAAAATCATTTTGCCATAATTTTATTAAAAACTTTGCTCTCGCTTTACCGTTATTTATTCGCTTGTGTCACTGCATTCATATTTAATGCATTTATGTTGTAAAACAAGATTCTTTAGTAGTCTTGAGCAAATTGCAAATCGTTACTCAAACTTTTAAACTCAACGCTAAAGGAATTTGTAGGTTCCCAAATAAGACCGATATGGTGCACAATTGATTTAACCATAAAACAACAGAATAAATTCAGTATACAAAAGGGCGCTGGTAGAAACTTTACTGCACGTTACGTATAGTGTTCAGTGAAAATCCATTTCGACATGCCAGCGTTACAAAGTGATGTCACAAAAAGCGCAGCGCTTTGCCGAAAAAATTGGCTACCACTGTAAAGAATATACAACTGAACTGCCTCGCTGCTCGCAGGCAACGTCGTAGGCAGATTCGCAAAGGTTGGTGGCGGCATTGGCAATCCAACGCACTTAGTAAAACATTTTCACTAAAAATTGAAAATCAAACTTCAGCTGTGACACCTTCTGGAATTCCGTAAGCTAATGCACTGTGCTTACATGGAACGAATGCTTCGTTTGAAACGTCAGCTAAGCCTGACAGACTTCACGGTATTGTTCAAGCCGTCAGAACTGGTCACGGTTACAGCAGAATTCGTGGTTGTAGCAGTACCAAACATCAAATTATTGTTCATTATATAATCCGGCAACTGATTGCTCATGGGACTGCATGGCGGCTGCTGTGAGTAAGACAACTGCGTGCTCGATGCAACATTTCGCGAAGCACCGGCGACAAAACTCGACAAAGGAGCAGCAGTAGGCTGCTGGCAATGAGAGAGTTGCGAAGGCACTGAAAGTAATGTGAAACCGACTAATGACTGTTAGAGACAGGTAAATGGTATACCTAGGCCAAAAACGTTTCCAGCAGGAGATAGACCGTTCGAGCCGTTCTGCATCGACTGTAGAGTAGACAGGTCCGGAATATTATCACCTAACGTGCCATTCACCATGTTATAGGGACTCACATTACTGTTACTCAGTGACAGTGCATCGTCTAAAGCACACATTAATATCATTATTATAAATTCAGCGGCCGACCATTCAATTCTCCATGTCGACACTAAAGATATCTTGGCAAGGGGCACAAAATACTTAACTAACAATCTGAAAAATTGTAAACAAGCAAAAACTTCATTTCAACCACTAAACTATTCAAGGGTATCAGTACAAAATTTAGAATATTCAAAAACCAGAATTAGCTATTAAGGCACGCAAATGAATCTTTAAGCACAGACTTTTCTATTGCGTATATCATAAGTAAGTTTCCCTCCTACCATATGGAGAAAGAACCATTGCAACTCTCTTTTAAACTCCAACGTTACGC